GATGCAGTGATCACTAACTATTAGACCACTTGTGGTAGGCAGTAGGGATGATCAAACTACTAACAGCCAATGCGAGCATACTCGCGGCTGTCTGGGCAACTGTCACGTTGAAGTGCTGCTCCATACGAGGGATGCCACCGAAGAAAAATGACATCCCCATCACCAGGAGCAAGTTGGATAGAATGCTTCCAATGAGGGAAGTCTGCACGATGAGGGTTTTGCGTTTGACCAGCGCGATGATTGCAACGATAAGCTCGACGGCGTTGCTGAGTGGGTTAGAAATGGTGCTGTAGAGGGAGATAACAGGCAGTATAAAGCATACCCGAACGAGGCATTCAGTAGACCACCGATTGTTTCACTCGTGCTAGAATGTAAATGAGTATAGATCCAAAAAAAAAAAAACAAGAGACATCGAAGCATACCGAAGGGCAATTTCTTCAGTTGCGAAACTAAGCATTGCAGCAAGAGGACTAGTAGATGTATGTTAACCATAAGATCCTCGAAAATGGCCAGCGGTGTGAATCACTCACACGATAGCAATGAAGTTAACCACGAAGACCGCAATTGGATTGGCTCCAACGGCATAAAGCGCAACTGTGCACAACCATAGAGTTAGCACGTACGCTTCCTTACATCAACAGCCGACAAAAAGAGCCAGACATACTTCCAACAGGTGCAGCAATCAAAAGAACATTGATCCACGAGTTCAAGATAGTAGCCCTTAACTGCGAGGCAAGAGTAAAGGTCTGATTGTTTGACAGCGACTTCTTATCCTCCCACTCATCGTTATCATGGCGATGCTTAAACTTGCCCAAGATACCACCCTTCCGGTGACGCGCTTGCACGGACCCAACAGTCTCGGTATCAGCCCCGCACACCGACGAGACATTGATTGGATCCTGGCTAGCCATGGACGGTTCAGGGGGAGACTTGTGTGTTTCATGCTCGCTGCCAGCAAACTCCGGCGGGAATGTATTAGAGTGCTCCAGGATGGTAAGTCCATCGTTCATTTCCCGTCGGCGCTGGTAATCTGCTGAGAGGTCGTCCAAGGTCTGGGCGTGGGACAGTCCATCCTCGAGCTGCATAGAGTTCGATCGCTTGGGCCTGCTTTGAATCTTTTGGAATGGGTTCAATGAGGGGCCGTACCATGCTGATGCGCGGGCCTCACGGCGAATTTTATCTAGTTGTTTCTTAGCATGGCTCGCCAGTTGAAAGGCTGAGTATCCATAGAAATTGGACTTACGCATGATGGTGCTGGATTGCTGTGATCTGTGGAGAAGCGGATTTGTGAGTAAGCGCCGTCTTGCGAAAGATTTTCAAATAGAAGACAAAGGACAATGCAACAGCGATTGGAAGAAAAGAGGACAGCAGTGAGCGCTGGAGGTTATATTTGGTCCAAATATCACACGCCACAGCGTGGCTTGGACCAGCGACGCCTGCGCCGGATGCCTATTGAGAAGAGCCGAATGAACACGTACTCGCTAACGGTTTTGAGAAGTTGGTCGCTCAACTCGCTCACAGGCTGAAGCGATTACGGCAGTTTAAGCGCTAAATGTGGATGAGCCTCAAGATACAGCCACAGCAAGATGACGAATGGCGGATCCGTGATGTTTAAAGGAGACCCCAAAATGGCATGCGCATAGGAGAACGGTGAGAGTCGCGCGCAAGCGAGGGATAGACGGAAAATCAACAAAGACCAGACGAGTGGAATTATGAAATGGGGACTGGGGAAAGAGGGCAAAAGGAGTGACTCGAAGGGATAGAATTTGTCTGGCAATACCTGAATTTCATTTGGAAACAGCCTTTGAGAGTTGAAAAACACAGCCACACTACTTGGGTCGATCGTGATGGTGCGTACTCCGTATTGTGGTGCGTATGGTGTGTATAGTGTGGATAGTGGAGTAAATACAATGAGCTTGGTGTCTAGAAAAACCAGACTTTGATTGCGAGACTGACTGTGATAAAATGTACTTGGTAGTCGGCAAAGAACTGGTCAGAATAAGGATTTGTTTTTAGCTCGGTTCTATAGATTCCTGCGCAGACTGCGTCAGATATCGTGAAATTGTACTCCGTAAATGTTGCGATGAAACCCCAGCGCCACTCAAAACCTTGGAAGTGAAAGCTTCGTCAGTGGAAGCTTTGTTGCGTTGTCCTTGGGTGACAAGGCATACCCATTTTTTTTTCCTTTGAGATCGCCGGTATTCTGCAGTCTTCAGATAGCACGGTCACACCGAGTCTGTTGAATTTCCTCGGGCATTCCTGCAGATGTTGACATACGATGTAGCGGTGCAATCGTGGCACAGAGAGCCCACAAATATGGGTCTTTAGTTTATTGGGAGCAAATTTCGTCCAAATTGTGTAGGGGGGCTTTGACCCGCTCTTGGCAGCATTTTGGTCAATCAAGTCTCAAGGATTGATTTCCACATCAGGCCCGAACGCCACATACCCCTTTTCCTGAATGTGGTGTGTTGGATGTTTTCTGAGGTTCGATGAAACAATCACGTGCTTGTCTTCAAGGATGTTGGTTGCCGCCCGTGTAAGCACTGGGGAGCCCTGAGGGTGCTCTGGGAAGGGACACGCTTCCCTAACATGGAACAGTAATCATATTAGGCCGGTGCCAATTCTGGCACTTGTTGTAGGCCTGCTCTTCGTGATGAGGCCATGATCAATGATCAAATAAGCCCCGGGCAGGTATTGGGGACGTCGGTGGCTCGCGCTCGCTCTAAGCAGAATCAAATGGCCGTCATCCCGAGAAGATTTATATCCTGAACACTTAGCTCACTTAGCTGCACTGCCAATGTAGTTGGCCGTCACCTTTCCGGTTCCGTCGCGTTGGTTGATCTTCGGTCGGTTGTTGAAGCAAAGTGAAGAGCGAGGCACAGTGAGGAGTCAGGCGGAGCAAGAAGGAAGTCAAGAGCCTCAAATTAAATGGCAAGTGTGTTGCAAATTCACCGAAAAGGAAAAAGGTTCAGCCCTATGGATTTTCGGGGCTCCTAAAATAGTTGTTGCCTGCCTCGCGCTAGCCACTTTCAGCTATGCTGACTTGCCTCCACCTGAACAGCCCTAGCTCTATGTCTACTTTGAATAGGCATAGTCGGCCGCTCATGCGGCCTTGGTTCTTCACGACGGAAGACTTGAATAATCCCTCGGGCGGATGTAGTTCGCGCGAAATGATGGGGAAATCTTCGTTGCTTTTTAGAATTGACTGTAATGTTCCACATGTCCCCCGGTTTTAGATGGCACAAGGGGTTTATAGTCTCTAGTAGTCTGTCGAGAACAAGTGAACAGGTGCTTCGTATCACACAGCAAGCCTATACTCGAAAGTTTTCTCTCGGCCCTTATGTCTAGAACTTGTCTTAGGCTAACAATGAAAAAAAATCGAATTAAAAAGAATAATCTATACCAAGCGGGTTGCTAGATCGCTAGAAAGCTTGATAGAGCGAGATATGTACCACAAAGCCCCGAACGGAAGGGGAGTGACCTTCTAGTACTCTGCACTTTTTTAACGTATTTTCTTATATGCTAGGACCAGCTTTTGACGTGATCTATGAGATTCAGGGGTGCCGCTACATCTAAATTACCCTGTCTAGCCTTGCATAGTATCGTCTGCCTTGGGCTGTATGTTGTGTTATATTTCATGAGTTACCAAATTTTTAATATTTTTTATTCAGAAAAAGAGCCGGGTTATCTACTAACGATCCCGACAATATATGGAGAGGAGTGCTGCGACAACCTACAAAGTAGTCAACGGGGACAAATATTGGTGCCTGCTCTGCCATCTGATCGCCAGTTCAAATTGAAAGGATGTGATTTATGTCGGTAGTTTTTCTCTCGAGTTATTATGAGATCATTACGGAGTACATGGTTGATGGATTGTACGATATGAATAGCATAAGACGTTGAGCTCATTTACAGTGATCAACCAGATCATTGACGGATCTAAGAATGAATTTCTAAGGTTGTGGATTGAAATCTTGTCCGTGCAATCTAAATCCTTTCGCGTCTGTTTCTGTGGTCTCTATCTGAATCTTGAGAAGGGGGAAAGTAGATATGAAAATTTTCTTATTACCAAAAAGACATGCCAAGGTCGTATAAGTAGTCGACTATTTTTATCCATGTATCACTGGGGATACGACTTGTAAAGTGAGACATTGGGCCCAACTGTCCCAGACGTACGGAGTACCTATGGAGTACAAAGTCTTTCAACTCTTGATGGCATAGACTTTGATACCGGACTATGATGCATGTCTTGAGACTAGGATTGCACTTTATTAATTCTCATTCGACAAGCGTCAGCCAAGGACGTCACAGCATTGATCCTTGGCAACGAACGAGCTTTCGGACTTTGGATCTCTTGCACATTATACACTAGTGCAGCTTTTGTGTGTCTGAATAATTTCTAAGATAATTTTTCGCATATTAATGAGATGATGAATTTGAATCCACACCCCTCCCAAGTCGTTCCCCGGGGTTTTTAGTGCATCATCGGCTTACTAGGTCTACACGCTTGTTTCAGGGGTAGTGGCAAATAAGCCGAGGACTCAACGGGAAAGGCTTGAATGAAGGAAATAGTGGAGGGATGGCGGAGGGATAGTGGAGGAACAGTGCAGGGACAGTGGAGAGAAGTGGAAGAGGTGGAGTATAGGGGCCAATAACGGGGGAATATCAACATCGTCCACCTTGTTCCTGGTTCATATAGGATTGCCAATCACATCTTTCAATTGATTTACTGAAAACAAATATAGAAAAAATAAAGAAAAAAATTATGAGAAAGAGATGAACCAATCTACAATGATGGCCAGTGACATATACCCACACGAATGCGTGTACCCCCTTGGGTCCTTCATTTCCCCCTTCCAAGGTCCCTTTTCTTCTCCCTTCCCTTCCTACGTACAAAGTAAAATTCCTCTACGGAGTATTCATTCCTTATTTACATTCGCTATCACTATTGACGGTGTGTACCCGTCCGACATTCCTTTGGTTTTCAATTTCCTTGCATTATGAAGGCCTCTATCATTGCTGGTCTCTCCCTTCTAGGGGCGGCCATGGCTGCCGAAATTCCCTCCATCGAGATTAAGGGCAAGAAGTTTTTCTACTCCAACAACGGCACCGAGTTCTTCATCCGTGGAGTCGCCTATCAGCCCGACTTCACTGGTCGCAACGGTGCTTCCGGCAATGACTCATACACCGACCCGCTGGCCATCGACAGTTGTAAGCGTGATATTCCCTACATGGTCCAGTTGCGCACCAATGTGGTTCGTACCTACGCCGTTGACCCCAGCAAGGACCACGATGAGTGTATGAACGCTCTCGCCGATGCCGGTATCTACCTGATCACCGATCTGTCCTCTCCTACCCAATCTATTGTGTCCGACAACCCGAGCTGGAACTCGGATCTCTTCACTCGCTACTCTCAGGTCGTCGATGCCTTCGCCAAATACCCCAACGTCATCGGCTTCTTCGCCGGAAACGAAGTTGCCAATAGGGTCAACAACACCGACTCCATGGCATACGTCAAGGCCGCCGTCCGCGACATGAAGTCCTACATCAAAGAGAGGAATTACCGTAGCTCCCTCGCTGTCGGCTACGCTACCGATGACGATGCCACCGTCCGCGAAGCCGTCTCCAACTACCTCATTTGCGACGAAGCCGCCGATTCCATCGACTTCTTTGGCTACAACATCTACGAGTGGTGCGGCGATGCCACCTTCCAGAGCTCCGGCTACGCCGAGCGCACCAAAGAATTCGCAGACTACCCCGTTCCTGCCTTCTTCTCCGAGTACGGCTGCAACGCAGTCCGTCCCCGCGAGTTCACCGATGTCCCCGTCCTGTTCAGCGAAAAGATGACCAACGTCTGGTCCGGAGGTATCGTCTACATGTACTACGAAGAAGCCAACAAATACGGTCTCGTCTCCGCCGACGGCGACGAAATCAAAACCCTCTCTGACTTCGAAAACCTCTCCAAGCGAATGGCCACTGTAACCCCGACCGGCGTGCAATCAGCTGCATACTCCGTCTCTACCACCGTCGGCCGCAGCTGTCCCACCGTCGGCGCAGACTGGAATGCCGCCAGCAAGCTGCCCCCTTCGCCCAACGCCAACCTCTGCGAGTGCATGTACGACTCCCTCGAGTGTGTCCCCAACTCCGATATCACCGATAAGCAGATCGGAGCCACCTTCGGCTACCTTGGCGGCGTGCAGGGTATCATGGACGGAGTCCGGTCCAACGCTACTTCTGGCATCTACGGCGCTTACTCCATGTGCTCTGCTAAGCAGCGTCTGGCCTGGGCTATGAACGTTTACTACCAGCAGAACAAGGACAATGCTGGTGGCGAGGCTTGTGGCTTCAACGGTGTCGCTAACATCAAGGAGTCTACCTCTGCTTCTGGCTCCTGCGCCACTCAGATGAGTGCTGCTGGCTCGGCTGGCACTGGTTCTGTGAGTGGTGGTCTTGCTGCTATCACTGGTGGTGGTGCTGCTGCTTCTGGCTTTGCTTCTGGTGGTGTCATCCCGTCTGGTATTGCTGCTGGCATTGCTCCCCAGGCTGTGCACATTGGTGCCTGGCAGGCTGGTGCCTATGCGGTCGCTGCTGTTGCCTCTGGTATCTTCATGGTCGTACTGTAAACTCGTCTTTTGTTTTGCTGGCTATCTTGCAGAG